TAATAGTTAGAAATTGATTACTTAGAAAAAAAAACTAATGCATATCACCGAGTTAACAAGTTCTGCGGTCTAACTAATGCAGCACTATCTAATGCAAATCACCACAGATAGAAGGTAATGTAATGTCACACCTCAGCAGCTTCTACGAGGCGTCCTTCTTCTTTATGGAGTATACCACAGTGCGTGAGGGCACAAGCATTATGTGGATCCAACCTGATCGCTTCAGAAAAACAATCGAAAGCTAGATTCCCTTTGTTTTGCGTCTGCAAGCATATCCCTTTTCCAATGTGAGCTTCAACATTCTTGCTATCTTTCTCCAGCATAGCCTCATAGAGAGCAAGCGCATCAGCAAACTTGTTTCTTGCCCGAAGGATATTGGCATAAGAAAGTGTATCGTTCCCCTGAATGGCCTTTCGTGATGGAGACAAAACACCTGCGCTAGGAGAAGACCGAGATCCATTGGAAAAACCGTTCTCTACGATTGGTGACCTCTCTCTCTCAGTATCATCTTCCAGTCCCACCATTTTTTTGTACCTAAAATCTTGTTCACCTTCAAAGAAACAATAAAAAAGAATCCATCAAAGGTGGAAAAAAATTAAATCTTGCATTGTTGACATAAATATGAAGCTCCAACGAAGCTAAAGATCTGATCTTTAACAGTATCAACCCCAACTCATAACATTTCAATGCCAAAAAATAAACCTAAGATCACACAAATATGCAAAAAGATCACACCTTTGGGGTATAAACCCTAGAAATGAAACTAAAAGAAACGATTAAGCAGAAGAATGCACATGTAATTGAGAGTAAACACCAAGGTCCGATAATTAGGGTTTAACGATTACTTACCACATAACCTGAAAAGAAGAACTTGACGAAACTTCTGGAGCCGCTAGAGAAGAAATCGAGTGGCTAAAGAAGAATGATATATGTGAGCTAACATAGGAGAAGCTGATCTCCGGCTGGCTCCTCCGAAAACAGAAAGCGTCGATCAGTAACAACTTAGGGATTTTATATCTCACATGCCAAACCCAAACCCAAGCGGTGGAGTTGTCGCTTGGCCGTGAATGGATGGAGCGGAGGTGGCGGCGACGGCGTAGCCTCTATTATATGCTCAGGGGACAAACGAAGAGGTACGAGGTCGGTCCGAGCCAGTGGACAGAGGCAACGACTCAGATTAGCTCTCCTGGCTTCTTTTTTTTTCACGGCTGGATTGTTATTTTTTTTTAACAAAAATGTTATTGTATTGAAAAACTGACAAAATAGACAACAGTAATAATTGACGAAAAAAAAAAAGACAACAGTAATAATTTTGCTAAAAGAAAAAAAAAAGGAAAAAGGAAATTAGTTATGTAATAAAGAAAATAATACCTCTAGATATGCAAGAAAATGAATTGTTTGATTTGTTTCTTTCATACAATAATTATACGAGATGAAAAAAAATATTACAATAATTATACGAATCTATGTCCAGCCATTTAGGAGATTTGATTTTTCATGGACTAGAAACTAGAATGTCTAGAGTTATAAAAAACCTCTATACGTGTCCCCAAAAAAAAAAAAAAAACCTTACGACTTCTCTAGTTCGTTTGCAGCCAGATTGATTGATGATGGGTATGTAATTATTGACATCTCTATAATTTGCTCAATATTCTCACATGTAGAACAAGTTGACTTTGAAAATATTGGCAAAAAGATAATTTTGTGGTGGATCAAACCGGGATAAGGTCGACACACAAATACTAGTTTTAATAAATGGTTGGTTTAAGATTTTGGGTCCAAACACACATACAAATATCCCAAGCTTATAGATAATTGGGTATTTTTGCAATTTTAAAAGCGTTTACAGTAGTCAAATTAAAGATCAGTATAAGTAGGTGGTAGGAATTGATCTCTAACTTCGCCTCACAAATTTATACGGGTTTAATACAACATTAATATTCACAATGTTTTAATCACATAAAGTAAAAATATCCAAAAATATATGTTTAACCATTTTGTTTACTTGGACAAAAAAAAAATCATTGTCATTTTCTTAAGTTTTCTACTAATTTAATGTAATTGCGATTAAACCAGTCAAAATTGTCAAAACCACTCTAGTGTGCAAACAAGTGGGAAATGGATCAAGTAAGTTTCACAAGTGGGCGTCCAATAGTTAGGATCATGTCGGCCTCCACTTGTGTTCTTCTCCTGCTCCTGCCTCTTTTTGATTTAACGATCACTTACTTGTCTCACCCGAGCTCTCAACTACTGGCTGTGGTTGCATTGATGTCAATCCATTTTGTAATAATTGGACTATGCAATTTATTTTGCATTGTCAAATAATTTGAATAGGCTACTTAAATTTACAGCCACTTAGAGAGACTTTTACTCCAAAACGAAAGAGCCCTTTTATATAACACCTTACTTGGTGCAAAACGTTTTTAGTACTGTATTATTTTTTATGGGAAACGAAAGAGTTATTTGTCATGTTACCTGAATTTTGTTCATATTTTTAAAAAAATTCTGAAATGTCAAACCAAACCAAAAGGATAAAATACCACTATAACCAAAATGAACAAAACCAAATCAAACCAAAAGGATAAAATCTATTAACGAGAGAAAACCAATTTTGTCCGGTCAGACTTTTGGGTTTAGTGGCGACATTGATTTTTAATTTTGCTCCCAAATCGCGACTCCTCTCTCTCTCTCTCTCTCTAAGGGCAACAACGAAATCATCACCTTCTCTTTTACAGTCACCGGCGATCAATCAAGACTCGATCTCCGGTAATCAGAACTTTTCCATTCGCCGACATGGCGATGACCATCGAAGGTAATCCAATCACCTCTCTTCCAACTGTATCATTTCTCGACGAAATCGAATCAGATTCATGTCGATTTCCCTCTTCTACTTCTCTCCCTTGCTCCATATTTATACTATCCCGTACCTTTTTAATTGAAATCTTGAAATACTCAGATTACAGTTATTTTGTGCTTCATGGATTGTTAATTTTTGTGAGCTAGGGTTTCTGGGTTTTGAAATGTTCAAACTCACTCATTGTTTACTATTTTCTTCTAATTTTCCGATGTGGGTTTCTCCTGGAATGCTCAAATTTCTGTCTTGGTACAGTGTAAGTTCTAAGACTTGAAGCTCTTTAATTACTTTTGTTGTTTCATCTGCCAGTGTATCCTCGTGATCTTATAGATTATAATGTTCTTGATTGCACAGACTTGCTGGACTTGCTTTCATGTTTTCATCTAGTATCCTCCTACAGATCCTGGTACGTTTTTTTGAATTACCCTTGAAGACTGATGATAAGATCCTGACTTAAGTAGCTTTAAGTTCTCCAAGAGACCCATGTTTGTTTAGCTACTTGTGCGTTTCTTGTAACACTTTATTGAAAATGGTTAGCTAGTTCTACTGTTAGGTTGTGAGTTGAGTATACCGGTCTCCTTTTGTCCCCTTGTTGGTGTACCAAACAGAGCTGTGATTCTTGGCCCATTTTATTGGGAGAGATACTTTGTGAATCTGTTACATTCAAACCTTCTTTCATATTTGAAGTTTTCAGCTTTCCTCTCTCGAGTGTTGATTAATGAGCTCTGGACCACAAAAACCATTAAACTTAGAATCCTTATCCTTATCGTCGATGCAGGTGCTCACTTAGGCTATACAAGTGCTAAGTCAATGTCTAACTTACTAAATGACTTAGACTTTCTCAGCAATTTCTCTAAACTTAAGCATCTTCTCTCTTCAACTTAGATCAGGTCCTTATATAGGTCTACTTTGTTTTTGTTGCAATTCAACTAGAAGAAGAAAGGATAATCAGATTTACATTATCTGATACATTTCTCATATTTTGTGATTCCCTGGTTGTACCATGTAATGAGTAACACATGTTATAGTCATCTGCGAGATATAGCGATAACTATTTGCTAATAATTGTCAGGCATGTGCGATATATGGTAATTGGTGGCCAATGCTATCAGCACTCATGTATGTAGTGGTGCCTATGCCTTGTATGTTCTTTGGAGGAGGCTCAACTCAATTCCTTACTAGTCGGGACGGTGGAGGGTTAGTTACTAGAGACTTTTACTGCTACTTTGTAGTACATGAAACATCGATTACCAAGTTTGCTCGTCCTTAAAACGCAGGTGGATAGATGCAGCTAAGTTCTTGACCGGAGCATCGACCGTGGGAAGCCTCGCTATCCCAATCATCCTAAGGCACGCACATATGATCGAGACAGGTGCAATGCTCATAGAATTCACATCGTTCTTCATATTCATTTGCACTGTCATGTGTTTCCACCGGGCTAGTCTCGATGATGACTGGTAACGTAGATGTTGTTGCTATCGTGATTTACTAATTGGATTCGTATGAGAAAGAGAGAGTGTGAAGAAGATGAGGTTATTATGAACCCGAGAAAAAAGTGGTTAAGAAAGTTGTATTCTCTTCTCCCTCTTTTTGTAAAGCTTTGTATCACTCTGTCTGTAAAAAGTTTTATTCATCATTGTGAATCTTTTCTTGAAACAAAGTGCCAAAATATGTTGTTTCACATCATCATAATCTTCATCGGTTAACAGGAATCTCTTTGTCAATTGGTTTTACAAGATTGGTTAAGGGTTTTTAATCATCATGTTTTATCCAGAGACTAAACCAGATGAGGCAACGCTTAATGGTCAACAGTAACACTTGTGAACAAAATCTTTGTTTCTTGTCCGACGTGGTCATGGAATAATGTCAGAAGGCCCTTCAGGTAAGCCCATGGACTAATAACAATAAGCCTTATGAGGGTATAAACGTAATTTACAGGAATCCCCCTTCATATATATACTCGCGAATCACCTCTGAAGGACTTAGCCGTCGTCTACTAGGGTTTAATCGATGTTCTGCAATTTAGGGTTCTTTTTTTCTATTAGTCTTATGGTGAAAGTTTCTCCTTTCTTATAATCTCAGGAATAGTTTTTAGATTGCACGATCGTTTTTTTTAATTGATTTGTTTGTTTGTTTGAACTCAAAGAAGGGCGAGGGATGATGATTCAATTAGATGTGCGAATGGAGAAATTCTCCATTTTGAGCTCAAAACTTTATTTGGCATAATAATCTGACTTCGCCGTCAACTTTTTTATATTTTTGTTTTCTATTGGAGGAATGGATAATGGATGATGATTCAATTAGATGTGCGAATGGTTTCATCATGAGCTCAAAAACTCTATTTGGCAATTTTTATCTGACATCTTCCATTTCTCCCATGTTCAATCCTATATTTCTCCTTTACGCTGTATTACTTCGGTTGTGTTTTTTTTAATGTTTGCGAAATGAAATACATTTTGATTGTTTACCTGTTTTGCTTAGACCATACGCAGCGGCATATTTTCTGCTGGAGGGTGAGGATTAAAAAAAACAAAAGTAATCAAATAGTAAGGAGAGAGACAACACCTGGGTGTGAAGTAACAAATAATATAATTTAATTATTATATTATTAAATTGACTTAAATATATACACTCAAAAATGTCCCACTGTGTATGCTCTTATCTGTTTTGTTATGATGTGACTTGCAACTGTAATGCTAAAGCAAATTGATGTGTAATCTACAAGGTTAATCAGATTAACAAATATTAAATAAATTTGTTGCCATATACATTGCGGCCTCGTGATACATTGGACAAAAAGGTAAAAGAAAAGCACCATGTTTCATTTTTTTTGGCTCCTCTCGTATCAATTTTAAAAATATACAACAAACGACAAAGTGAATGCTAGTACCTTGCTTTGAAAATGGTTCAATAGGGAAATAAACTAGTTCTCGGAAGCAGAATCATATGTAAAGGTTACTTTGATCACAAATGATAATTATCCACCCTCTAAACGAAATTAAGCATAAGCTCAGGTTACAAAATATTTACATTGAAATTTTATTAATCAGTACTTTTCAAAATTTTATATTATCATTCTCTATCCAGAAACTGAAATTAGTTTATTTTCAGTGAAACCTCCAAAGAGAGGTAGAATTCAACAACATTTGGCCCAATCCACTAAATGTTTTAGAAGTTAGTAACCAAAAGTTACAACACTAGGTTCTTTAATGTTACATTTGGCCCAACACTCAATTGTATTACCTACCATTACCAAATGCTATCAATCGTAATTTTTTTTTTTTGTCTTATCTTCAAATAAAATGTTCCTAAAATGTTCTCAAATAAAATATAAATTCAAACAAAAAACGAATGACCAACCTTTAATCGTTTACATTAAGTGTAAGTGTAAGGCCTCTGAATCCATTCCTTGTTTCTTCAATAAGGTGATAACAATATTTAAACGTTGCTTTGACCCCATCAAAAAGAAAAGAATACCAATTTTAGAATAGAATTTTCATTTAATTGCATTTTAAACTCGCAAACTGGTCATTAAAGGAAATTAAAAGTGTGAGAGGCGTGACTTTCATCATCCTACAGAACAAAACTTCCTCATCCACCGTTAGATTTGAAGTTCATCATCCAACGGCTAGAAATCTAATCCCGCTAATAATTTGACCGTTGCAATTTTGCTTTTAATGGCTCCTCTTCTCCTCTCCTCTCTCTCAATAATCCTTCTTCTCATACTTTCAGATTATTTCCATTAACAAGAAAAGAATAGAGTCTGAAAACAAAGAGAAAAAAGATCATGGCGACGAGACCTGTTATTTGTCCTCAACCACTTAGAGGTTTATTCCGCTGATCTATCTCTGTTTTTTATAATCGAAGATACATAATTTTGTTGTTGATGGGTTGCTCTCTGTACAAAAACCAGGTGATCGTCGTGCTCTTGGCGACATTGGAAACATCGATTCTCTTCTTGAGGTCGAAGGAGGAAAGATTAATCGCCCAATTACTCGTAACTTTCGTGCTCAGTTGCTAGAAAACGCACAAGTTGCAGCCGCCGCTAACAAAAAGGTTTCTTTTTTCTTTCTTTTGACAAATCTTATAATCCACATGATTCTTGAATCTTACTTTTTTCTATCCTTGCGAAACAGAAAATCAGTGTAGACAAGGATCCAATTCTTGATGGAGCTACCAAGAAACAAGAAGCTGTAAGAGCGGTTCAAAAGAAAGCAAGAGGTGATAAGCGGGAGCCATCAAAACCTCATGAAGTGATTGTGATAAGTCCTGATACTAACGAGGTTGCTCAAGAGAATGTGTCGTCTAATAAGAAAGTGACATACTCTTCAGTTCTTGATGCTCGTAGCAAGGTAGATTCTTTGATTCTTTGTTCGATATTGAAACCATAAGTAATGTGCAATGTTCTGATTATTTGGTTGTTTTGTATACATACTTAGGCTGCTTCTAAGGCTTTGGATATCGATTATGTCGACAAAGATAATGATCTTGCTGCTGTGGAATATGTTGAGGATATGTACACTTTCTACAAAGAAGTTGAGGTACTTTATAGTGAAACCCTCTTTTGTTATGCTTATGGATCAGTTATGTGATGTCTCTTTAAGTTTGTTGTTTCGTTTTTTTTTTTGTTGCAGAATGAGAGTAAACCTCAGATGTATATGCATACACAACCAGAGATTAATGAGAAGATGAGATCAATCCTTATAGATTGGCTTGTAGAAGTTCATATCAAGTTTGATCTCTCCCCTGAGACTCTTTACCTCACTGTCAACATAATTGATCGTTTTCTATCTCTGAAGACTGTGCCTAGAAGAGAACTACAGCTTGTAGGTGTTAGTGCTTTGCTTATAGCTTCGAAATACGAAGAAATCTGGCCTCCTCAGGTCAATGATTTGGTATATGTGACAGATAACTCCTACAACAGCAAACAGATTCTAGTGATGGAGAAAACCATTTTGGGAAATCTTGAATGGTATTTGACAGTTCCAACACAGTATGTGTTTCTTGTGAGGTTCATTAAAGCCTCGGGTTCTGACCCGAAAGTGGAGAACATGGTTCACTTTCTAGCTGAGTTGGGTTTGATGCACCACGACAGTTTGATGTTCTGTCCTTCCATGTTGGCTGCATCAGCAGTATACACAGCCAGATGTTGCTTGAACAAGACTCCTACTTGGACTGATACACTGAAATACCACACAGGCTATTCTGAATCTCTGCTCATGTTAGTCTTCTTCCTGCTCTCTATTTATTCTAGCACAAGCGTGATCACTATGTTTGTATACTGATTTATGTATGTGTGTCTAACTTTCAGGGATTGCTCAAAGCTTTTGGCTTTCATTCACTCGAAAGCGGGGGAGAGCAAGCTACGCGGTGTGTTTAAGAAGTATTCGAAACTTGGAAGAGGTGCAGTTGCTTTGATTTCACCAGCCAAGTGTCTTTTGTCGTCTGCTCCATGAACAAGTTCTTGAAAGAAGTCGTCTTGCAAACTCTGCATCTTAGTAGATTCTCTATCTTTTTATCTTTTATATGTAAAGGTTTTGGTTCTTGTTGAGAAATGATGTTTCCGTATGAATTAAAAAGTATTATAATGAAAACTCTTCTTATGTTCTATATCAGAATCGTTTTGGTCCTTATTCCCATAATATTCTTATCTGTGGTGTAGTCAAATTCGAATTAAGTTGATGATTGATGATATCTGTTATTACTTGGAAAAAAAATTTGTTCTTCATAAGACCAAGCCAGTTTACTCTTGTCAAAACTATACTTTCGAATAAGAAATTTGGTCAATTTTGCTACTTGTCAAAACTAGGTGAAGAAACTTAAGACAAAAGTATCACCAATTTAATGACTTTGCATTATAATAATAAAAACGACGACGTAGCAGATAATGAAAGTGATGAGGGTATTTACGACAATTGACAGAGGCACTCCGATATAACCCTAATATATAAAGTAGATTTGTAGCGCCGTTAGTGTCCTCCTTGTTTCCACTGAGCATCCAAAAACACTATCGTCTCGTCTCTTCTCTTCTCTGATCCATTGTTGAAGATGGTAAGCTCTTTCTCCCTAACACTTGTCTGTTCAAGATCATTTGGTTTTCGTTAGTCTGTAGGAAATCGAGATCTGAGATTTCACTAAGTCCTGCTAGTTTCTGATGTTCAATACTTTTAGGTTCTGTGATTGATAAATCAATTAAAAAGTTTCTGATTCATAGCTTAGGGATTGTCTGATTAATCGCCATGTATTGATATTGAGCTGATGGTATGTGTACCAGTAATTAAGGTTAGACCAGTGAACAATTTGTTTATCAAATGTGTTTTGCTCTCTGTTTATAGTCGTCGAAGAGAAAGACTAAAGAGCCAAAGGTTGAGAATGTGACTCTTGGACCTACTGTTCGTGAGGGAGAGCAAGTTTTCGGTGTTGTTCACATCTTTGCATCTTTCAATGACACTTTCATTGTAAGCTTTTCTCTTTGATGCTTAGAGTTTGTATAATTTAACCTTCTGTGTAGTGGATTTATGACTTTGCTTTCAATATTTTTGCAGCATGTGACTGATCTCTCTGGCAGAGAAACTCTTGTTCGTATCACCGGTATGTTCCCTTGTAGTCTTTTATTTGTGTTTATGTTAGTGCAGACTCTAATCTCTCACAATTTGTCTATAGAATTCATTTATATTCTGTGTAATTTAATGATTATGTGACTTGAATATTCAAATGAACATATTGCAGGTGGCATGAAGGTGAAGGCTGATCGTGATGAGTCCTCTCCTTATGCTGCTATGCTTGCAGCTCAAGATGTTGCTCAAAGATGCAAGGTCAGAAATGATTTGATATTCATACTTTTTTTTTCTTCTTATAATGAATTGAGCTTCTGGATGATAATGTCTAATGCTCATATGTAACAGGAGCTTGGCATCACAGCCATTCACGTGAAGCTTCGTGCTACTGGAGGAAACAAAACCAAGACCCCAGGTCCTGGTGCTCAGTCTGCTCTCAGAGCCCTTGCTCGTTCTGGCATGAAGATTGGTCGTATAGGTAAATTCAGAAACTGAATATCTCTCACTTCGTCTTGTTTTTCATGGATAAATTGTTACTTTTGATTGCTCATTGCAAACTGAGTCTCTCTTGAATGCATTTGCAGAGGATGTGACTCCGATTCCCACAGACAGTACACGCCGAAAGGGTGGACGAAGAGGAAGAAGACTGTGATTGCACGATGAGGCTCATCATCGTCCAAATGTCCC